ATACAACAGTCTTTTAAAAAAAAACAAAAAAAAAAAAACCCAGCAGTGTTTAGCACTCGTTATTATTGTGGTCCCCAAACCATCAGTCAAACTGCTAATATGACACCAATGCACAAAACTTCTAAGACTGTACAGCCAATCAAATTATTAAGGTACCCTACAATTCCTTCCAAAAGTCAATTTAGAAGTCCAGGACAGCAAGAGACCGAACAGCTGTGTTATGAGCATATCTTCATGTTACAATTAAAGAATGATTTGGGTTGAATTAGCCAGAGATTGGTTTTGAAGAGTTAATGAGGAAAAGTGGGCATTATGACCAGCTATATCCTAGCGCCACATTTTAATAAACACGTCCTGGATGAACAGAAAGGTGGAAAAAAAGAAAAAAAGTATCATAACAAGGATATATTGTCCTGAGTTAATTTGTCTGTGGAAGAAAAAAAAAAATCTTCTAAAGTCACTAATTTTATGAGAATGGTAGGCAATAAGAGTAGTTCAGTAGATTACAGAGTGATAACCATCACATATGCCCCAGGAATGGAAAAAGGGAGGGTCATCATGTAGAAACAGAAAGAAAATGAACAGACGAGTACAATAACCCCACAGAGGGATAGATGAGGGTAAGCTGGGAAAAAAAGAAGAAGAAGAAAGATAGTGAGAATATTCAACCAATCAACAACTGGCAGAAATAATGACATTATGAAAAAGAGAGAGTCGTATGTGTTCCCCGAATCCTGTTAAATAGGCTTGTTGTCCTGTATTGTCTGTCATCTAAGCTTCAGATAAATGCCTTTTTATGCATCTTCTGTATAGGAAAACAACTGGTCATTATACTTGACTAACAGTTAGTACCACAAGAACATAACTGAACCAAACTCAGCGAGACAAAACTGCCTTCTGAGAATTTACTGAACTGACCAACATCTGTGATATGAACAACAAACTGCAACCTACACTATTACAGTGCCACACATGTAGTGAATGTATGTGCGGAGATACTTAATACAGTGAATCTTCTGTATACATCAGCCGGTAATGACTATCATTATTAGGTGTTGTGGGTAAATAAGTCAGAGTACACAACAGGCCAGGCTAGCGGTTTGGAGGGGAAAGTCTAGGTGTCACTGACCTCTCGATGGATTCTAATGAACTCCTGGGGGTCACCTTTTGCCCATGGAGGTAGCTCGACATCTCCCAGAGCTGTGCCATCTTCCATACAGCCTAAAAAGACACACATATGCATTATTGACTACGTGAACTGTGTAGGAAAAAGAAATCAAGAGGAGCCACTGGTGACATGGGTGAAGCAGTGTTTTAATTAGTAAATACAGTTTTTGTTTGCGTGTCATTTGTGTGCAGAGACACACATATACATGCATTAACACTTGAATAATGCCATTCACAATATTGCCAACGGCTTCATGCAATTACACTGACTGACACCAACTGGCGAAAATGTGCCAAGAAACAATATACAATCAAATTGGCTTTGCAAATGTTTAAGGCCTTTCTGATTAAAAAAAATAAAGGGAAAAAAGTGGTATCCTCATGTGGCATACTATATATTTTTATTGCCAAATAAAGAAAGACCAACGACATGACTGTAATAGGAACAGGCCAGAGATTAATATAGCTTATTATTCTGTGCCACACCTTCATTGATGGCCAACGAACACTCCAGCAAACCACTGTGGTGTGATCTGTTATATGCTCCCTCATTACCATGAACAAATGTATGCAAAACCTAATCAGTCAATCTGTGGGATACATGTGCAGTTTCTACTGTATCGTCTTTCATTCAAATTAAGCTAATTAGTTCATCAGTTAAGCAACAAAAGAATTATAAAGAAATGATTTGATTAAATTTCACACCATTTCTTTGGATGCTTCATATCTGTTATCACTTATGCAGCTTATTATCCAGAAGCTTAGAAGAATAGTTATAGCAAATTCTGCAATATCGTTGATCACTCATATGCAAATTAACATAGAGTGCTTCAGAATCCAATCAGGACATAACTCCACATGGAGTTCCTCTCATTTGAATCATTGCTTAATCACCAACATGAAGAAAATACACTGGCCATTTCATTAGATATACCTGTTCAATTGCTTATTAATGCAAATATGCAAAAAGCCAATGACATGATAGCAATTGGGTGTATGTGGGCACACAGACTGTAGTCAAACGTCACCAGAACAGGATGGGCAGCAAACAATTGTGCAGCAACTTCATGTCAATCTTTGGTGTTTTCAACAAGGTCAGCACCTTGTTGAATGTATGCCATGATGAAGGCAGCACAGAAGGCAAAAGAGGTCCAACCCTTTACTAGCAAGGTACACCTGATAAAGTGACTGCTGATTGTATGTAGCATATATGACTGAGGACATACAGTACACATTCTGACCTCGCAGAAACAAAACAAACAAAACAAAAAAACAAGAGACAGGGTAGGGAAGTCTGAATTAATCACTTTACATTCTTTTGTTTTCATTTACGAATATTAGGTACACAGAGGATTCAAAAAGCTGACCTAGCTGGATTTGGTTGGAGTTGATCAGGAAGTCTGGCAAGTAGAAGAACTCCGGGATCAGCTCTCTGACGTCCCCCATGTTGTCTCTTGAGGCAGACTCCCACTCTTTCTTTATACTGTAAAACATCCGCTCTGGGATATCAAACCCTCCCTGTGAGGAGAGCAGACAAAACCCTGTCAGACCCGCAGAACATCACTGAGATAAACTTTTCTTTGGGCATATTAATAAAGCAGTCTGCCTGATACAGTGCAGAGAATCATATTTTATGTTCTTTATTGTATTATGTAAGCACAGAATATTTGCTACCATTAGAAGAAAGCTTTTCATCTTTCTGTAAAATTCCATCATCTGTGATGCGAATCTCATGAGAGTGAATGTAATTTAGAGTAAAACAATTACCTCAATGAATGAAAATAGCATATATACTGGTAAACTGGGTTAGAGATGTAAATCCAGTTATGGATATTACTACACACCCATTATGTGCTTCAGAAGACAAAAAGGCTTCCTAATTCAACATCTTTATTGTTTTATTCTGACTATCAAATATGCATGCCTTTTCATTATAATCAACTGGATGCTGTGTTGTAAATTGGTAACATCTGTGGCTATTTCCACTGGCTTCTTTTGGACGCTATGTGTAATTATTTGCATACATATTAAAATGTCCTTATAATCTGTTTTTGTACCAAAAACAGCATTAAAATGGGATCTGGACAGCTGAAAATAGCTCACATTAGTTTCATATTAATAGCAAGATTACATTTAAAAAAAATGACAATGTGATGAATGCCAGTGGGCATCGAAAGCACAGGGTTTGCAGAAAGCCCTGTGGGTTACTAAAACATACTGAACACAACTTTCCCCGTCATTTCATCTGACAAATTAAGACAAAACTTCTTTAATGATCTCATTTATGCTGTAACCTTATCAACCACAACAAATTTTGCATGTTTTCAGTCTTATGAGCCACAGCACTCCACAGCAATGACATGAACCTCTGCAAAATGGTTAATATTTCTTTTTGCTGCTAGAGTTGCTCCAATTGGTCAAATTCTGGACTTTAATAATAATGTGAAGTTATGATGCCTAACTGGCAAAAATGTGACTGCCAAATGAAAAGTCTTGAATTTTATACTTTGTGTGTCATCATCTTTAATCTAAACCACTTTTACAGACATGTCAGTAACAAGGTCTACTTTTTCCTACATGCAAATAGTATTTTGTTAAATTTCTGTTATTGGACTCACCTGTAGCGCCTGGAAGGTGTGCGAAAATGGCTCCATCCTGACAAGGAAGGATGCCACAATAATGGCCGAGGAGTAGTGGGTACAGTAGTGGCATTGTGCTGTCAGGTCTGTTAGAGAAAATCACTTTAAAGATACTAACAGTGACATGAATAAAGCAGTACAAGTAAATAAAATTGAGCCAAATGGATACCTTCACTCTCTTTGCCTTCAACTTCTTCGTATCTCTGGATAAACATCCGTTTCCTTTTCTCTGTTTGAGCTCCCATCGGCTTGGACAAATCCCGGAACGTTGCAGGATTTGACAAATCAAGAATCTGTGAAGGACACAGATAAATCATACATTTGACACATCTTTGTCCCCACCTCCCTCAAAGGATCTCGTTACATTTATTGGACCAATTTAGCTGGACTTGGTATTACTTGGGCCGACTGAAATTTCTCCAGGCTCACCGGATAGCTTGCTAAGCCAAGCTACAGAGCAGCAGGAAGGATTTGTTTCACCCTGAGAGAAATGAGTGACACCTGATGTGACATGTTGCAGTTACAGCAGGGAAGGATAAAAATGGACACAAAATGCTTTTTTAAAATTAGAATTAACAATCCCCATCTTCATTGATGCACTTTTGATTGATAGAGTAAATTGTTACAATTTAGAGCAAATCTTTTGCAGACCCGTTAGCTTCTGGTTGTGGACTCTTGAAAAACCACAGTTTGAGACAATATTTAAGACAGAGACGTCATGTGTAAGGTTTACCTCTGACTTGTAGTCAGCAATGATCCAGGGGAAAACCGGATACTGCATCAAGTCATTGTATGTCCTCCCAGCGATCGTATTCAAATGCATCAAGTACTCAAAGTTACTTATCTCCCCCTTCTAAAGGACAGACAAGAAAAAAAAACAACTTAGAAACAAGTCAATTCAGAATAAAGTGGATTACATCAATGCCATTTATTCAACTTTGTTGGCTGCTCCTTCAACATTGGCAATGGATGTCTTCCCAAAACAATCTGTGAGCACAAACAACTTTGTAACATGCATTACCTGCCATTTAACAAGGGCCGTCTTTTCAACCACAGGAGTCTTTCTAAAGCACAACAAGAGAAAATACTTTGAATTAGCAACAGAAGCTGATCACTGAGCAGTGCCTATCAACACAAAGTTTTCCTGCTTGCTTTGTTGCCTAGCAACCACAGTTTAAATGTATGCACAGCAGAGTTCAGCAACAGCAGCGTAGCTGAGGTGAGTGAGCGAACTTGGAAAACAGAGTGTGTGTACACAGCTGCAGGAGCAGTTAAGGGGCTGATGTGAGCTACAGTATGTAGCATAAATAGTGAGCAGACATGTGAAGGATATAGCACATGATGAGGAAACGAAGTAATTAAGACTAGGTTCTTTGACTTGGAGCTACTTCAGCAAACTGGAATGTTTGAAAGAAGATTTGATGACTTGAAGGGCATGTTTTGACATGTGGCACCATTTTTCCCTAACGGAAGTTGATGATTACTTGGACAACAGGGGCACCATCATCTTGTGAAATTCCTGTTTCCCAGCAATGAGAAACAACGGTTAATATCTAACTTGGTGTCAGCTGTTTTTACTTTATTTAGGTATTGTATTGTTGTATAGTTATTTTTTATAACTGACTGGGAAATATCAATGCTGACAGGTCAATTTGTCCTGTTTAGGTTCTGATTCCACTCTTTGCGAGAAGGAAACAAAAAAGTCACAAAAAGTAACAACTGTTTAAAGTCTTTTAGCTGTTCACTGCTAAATGTCAGCTTATTTCCAGACAGATCCATATCAGGTGATACTGATGTTTGAACAGACATGCTGAATTTGCCCCATTTCTTCAGGCACTACAATAAAAGCTGCTTTTTAAGAAACTAAACCAGTTTGCTTATCTCTAATTACAAGAAAGTGTGTGACTGGCTTGAGAAAATAGATACTTAATAACAGTGTGACTAAACATTTTATTCAGTATTATACTCCTGCCTAAATGTGCTTAATCTAAATAAGGAAAGTGATCAACTGCTCCTGAAATCTCCTCTCTTCCTCTGTGGACTAGTGACAGGGCAATAAAGTCCAGGCGCCAAGCAGCCCAGTTGCTAAGTAACGTTATAAAACAAGAAGAACCTCAACTATCCCCGTTCAGATCAGGAAGGCAAGGAAAATTTTGATATAGAAGAATGGTCTTTCCTTGTCATTTAATCACAAAAACTTTCACATACCAACCAAATTGTACTGATCATTGTAAATGTACTTTGAAGGTGTTGCATCTCAATAAAACGTGTTTTGTTTTTTGCACAGAAGTGAGAGACTGTGAGATGAGCAACCAGTTCACAGAAGCTTAAGGAATGCTCTTCACTTGATTAACAACAATCCAAAGGGAAAAATATGGTAAGTGCCTGCCTTCATCCATTTTGATAATAAGTGGTACAAGTCCAAGCTCTAAAGCTATCCTTACAAATAACCTACTGTTGTCTAAATTTAGAACTTAAAAGAGAAATCTTATATAGCCACACAGGTCAGAAACAAGTGATGATCATGAAGCAAGACAACAACAACAAACTTAGACTAACACTAACACAGAAAACACTATTTTAGTTAAAGTTGTTATACTTAAAACATTTCAATAAAAGTCAGACAACTAGAATTATATGTTAGCATTAGCATGGTATGTATACGTTATTTATGTTTTGACATTATACACCCTTAAAATTATAAACTGTAAACTGTTAGACGAATACCTTTATTTATACAGGTGGCCCCATTGAGACTCAATGTCTCATTTACAAGTGAGACCTATGATCAATATGATGTACTGCCATGCTTTTTTTGTTGTTAAATTGTAAGTACTGTAAGGATTAGTTGCTTCTTGTTGTCCGTCCTTTCATTTGGCTTGGCAATTAAAGGCATATTGCACCTAAAACAAACTGCGGATGAAAGTCTTAAAAGTACAGTACAGACAGAAACTCAAAGATGAAATAAGGATGCACGTGGGAAATGAGTTCAAATGATCAAGAGCCTCTTAAAGTGTGTCCGTTTCGAACGCCAATAACTCCTGACCAAATATTTTGTAAAACTGCACTAAATCAATCATTGCATTTGGCTCAGTAGGTGTTATCTAATTGCAGGCAATAATTTCATGCAATAGTTTTCTATAGGAGTTATAATGGGAACAAGCACCAGTGGATAACCTCTCTCATCCTGAGGATGATGAATGAGGCGAGAGAGGGCCTTGGGGTGTAACACAGACACAAACAGACACACACCTTGCTCTTTTAGACAGGGAGGGGAGAAGAGCGAAGCCCTCATTACACTCCCAACACTCACCAACTATCATTTATCAAAGTCCTGATTTGATTCTTTGCACACACACACACACACACACACACACACACACACACACACACACACACACACACAGCGCATCCATGTCTGTCAACACACCTGCATGGCAATATGTCACACGCACACACTTTTCTTGCCTGAGAAGAGCCAAGCAACGCAATCCACTGAATGGTGAGGGAGCATCAGCACTCATTTGTTTTTGCTGTATTACCCAGTGTCGCCTCTCTCCTATTGTTCCCCAGCATTAGCCTTAATTAGAGAGTCATGCTCTTAAATACCCCCATGGGCAACACTGGGTGAGCACGCACTAGTGCAGTCACAACACTGCGATACATGCACACTCATGGAGACACACACGCTGTTCGAGCTCTCATTCCTCAGAGAGCATGCTTTCCCCACCGCCCGAGGCCTACATAAGCCCGTGTATTTGAATAAATCACATCAGCCTCACACAACGCACACACACGCTCACATCTTTACGCATAAACTCACAACCCTTTTGTTTGCTAGAGTACTGTGTGGTGGTGTAGATTAGATAAATTATTGTAAATTGGTCTCTTGGTGAAATAATCTCAAAAGGGAGGCCAAGTTGAAATTTTAAACCGACTTGTTCAGTAATTCTCTGTGCATTGCAGTACCATGCCCAAGAGAAAGGAAGCAAAAGGGACAAAGGTGACCCTCAAAACTGCAAAGAAGGCTATACGCACGACCCCAGATGGACGGCGTAGACTCGTTCTTAGCAACATGGGAATAACCATATTCCCAAAGTGCCTCTTCAAGATAACCTTTGTGGACGAGTTGGACTTGAGCCGCAACCTCATAGAGAAACTCCCAGAAAACTTTGGGGACTTGTCATCACTCAGATGGCTGGATCTACACAGTAACAAGCTAGTGTCTGTGCCCGAGTCCATTGGCAACCATAGGGGACTTACACACCTAAACCTCTCCAACAACTGCTTAACCTTTTCAGGTTTACCCTCCACCCTGGGCTCCCTGACTAATCTGAAGAGTCTCAATCTAGGAATGAATCAGCTTGATGACCTGCCTCTCACTTTGGTGGCCTTGGAAAATCTTCAAGAATTGGGCCTGTTTGATAATCTCTTTAAAAAGTTACCACAATTTCTGCAAGGCCTATGCAACCTCACCAAGGTGAATGTGAAACGAAATCCTCTATCATACCATCAAAGGAAAGATGAGACATTACTGAAGGGAAAGTCAGAGCATAAGGAGGATGTGTATCTGGTCCATGAGAGCAGCTTGTGTAGGACCTGCCTTAAAAGGTGTAAAGCAGAGAGGGAAAAGCTTATTAAAGGAGGTGCGGAAGGGAGAAGGGGAAGGGAAGCAGAAGGAGTAGATAGTTGCATGTCTGAAAAGAAAAAGAAAAGCGCATTTCCTGGCCTGGTGGCACCAAACTCAGTGGCTACAGTCAATCAGGATTTGTGGAGACTACGAGAAAAGCTTGAATGTGTGCAAGTCAAATGACCAGCAGGTCTCCTGATGTCAACTTATCAAAAAACAAAACAGCAGGAAAGGATGGAATGATAGGTCAGTCACACAGCATTTAATAGGCGTGTGCATTATATCAAGCTGTGACTATTTTTGTAAGCTTAATGTTTCTACTGATGATTAAAAAGAAATTTGTTGAAATATTGCCTATGGGTGGTTCTAAGAAACGCATGACACTTACTTGGCATTAGCAATGACCTCAGCAACTCCTCTGCCCTTTAAGGCTGGCACTACTCTGCTCAACCTGTAGGGAGAAAAAGACCAAAGACAAAGATCAGAATGCTGAAAATAAATCTTTCTTATTATCCAGTATATATAAATATGTTACCTTTTATAAGCAGAGACATGGTCTTTATTCAGGAATACCAGGAAGGCTGAGTGACCGTTTTTCATGAAGATCTCAATAGCATCATCCTTACAGTTACAGAGAGAGGGACAGTAGCCTTTTTAAAGTGCATATTTTCCCCCACTTTAAACAGAAATTCTATCAGATTCGCTTTTCCACAAAGATAAGAGCAAATAAAATGTGTGTAAGAAGAGGAAGTTTAAGATCAAATGTGATTGATATCTGTAGGTGTATGGGTGTCTGACCTCTAAAAGGAAACGCATGAAGCGTGCCTCCTTGATATCTTCATACAGCCAGCATTTGCAACTGGCTGCTGGCAGGTCTTTATTTAGCATGGTAGAAATAAAGGAATCCCTCACACTGGCAGAAAGAGACACACAGGATGATGAATGACCGACAAGTGAAGATCCATGGTGTGCAGAACTGTAAACATGCACAGTTATACCTGCTGGGGTGGTGCTTCCTGCAACAAACATCTCCAGCAGGGCTGAGGGTGAATCCCTCACACAAGAGCAGGCTCTCCTGCCCAAACAGCAGCAAACCCTCTGTGATTCTGAGGCCGCTCACCATCACAACACATATCTTAGAGATTACCTACAGCAAGAGAGAAAGAGTTCTTGCATTAATGTTCATACTGCTGTTATTGTGTAAAGTACTTTACAATGTATGTATTGTGATTGTAAGCCCAACAAGGGACAATTGTTGAAAATTAGCAACAGCTATAAACGTATGTGCGTTACATCAGTGTCATGTTTTGTACTTGGACTATGTTAAACTGCACTGTCCCATTTAAATAAATAAAAATGAAATAAAAATGAAATTAACTTGTTCTTTTGAACTTTCATGCCAGTAAAATCCTTTCAAACTGAATTTCATTGAGCATAGAGTAGGAGATATACATTAAACCCCATGTGAGGAGCACAATCCACATCAGCGCCCATCTCGCTCAATCTCTAAGGACATGACATGGCAGCAACACAGGCACTTCAGGCCTTATTTGATTGATCATTTTAATCACATATTTTAATCATTATTAAAAAGACACAGTTGAACACTTCATTATCTGAACTGATTGATGGGGTTTAGCAGGCCCGGCCCCCTTTTTTCCAGCAGTGTGTGTTCCATCCAGTGCCAAAGTGAACCCACATGCTGCTTTCAGTACTGGTTGTAGCTAATGCTAACTGCATTGTGATAATGCGTGGATAATTCTATTGTCTCCCCTCATTTCACCACGAGTGCATGCACCTGGCTGTCTCCATGTGTTGGCCCCTCTGCAGGCCCTCTGAGACATAGCGCCCAAAAACCATATGGGGCCCTTACACACCCGCAGGCTCCTCACAATTTATACTAATCAAATCAGACTCCTTACCCCCAGACACACACACACACACACACACACACACACACACACGGAGGAGAAGGCCCTGCCTGGCCATTATTAGGAGAATTAATCACTGCCACACACACAATAGAAAACCTGATAAGTGATCAGAACCTCTTGTCTGAATGCACACGCAGGGATACGCTATGAATAATATCACTTAAGTGTTTAAGAAGGGTCAAGGTGAGTGAGTCTTAGCGACATGGTAGAGAAATCTTGCACTGAGTTATATCATGTTCAGATTGTGAAGCAGTTTCCAACAGTGAAAGCAAACTGGCACCCAGCCTACTGTCTCCAACAATGACTATATTTCAGAAAAAAAATAGTTAAATTTATTGTTATCAAAGATTAAATACATAACAATAAACTTGTTTCCTTATCTCCTTACTGTGCGCTGGACAGATACGCATTATCAGTCTGAGAGCGATTTAGCTGATGATGGGAAGAAGGAGAGAAAAGGAGGACTTTTATTGACTAAGAGCCCTAATGTCAGACCATTGATTTCTCCCCACACACATTATTGTCATAATCACACTATTGGCGCTGGCAAGCTAATTATGAGTGGGTCTCCCTTTGTGTGTTACTGCATGTGTGTGTGTTAAGTCTGTGCATGTGTGTGCATTTTTCAGAGCTAATGACTGTGTTCATTTGACAGGAAGCTCAGCAGGACTCATGCACTCAACCACTGCAAGACAACAGGACACACTTGCACACATCACACACTTACTAAGCGGATGTAAGACAGCTTGCATCACCTCCTACTGTTTTTATTAATACTTCTGTCAGAAACATTAAAAGCCGCGGCTGGTTGCCGGAGCGATGAGAGTCCCTGTCAACATGTGCACTGGTTTCTAACTCACTGTAAGAATGAGAAGAGCTGTGCTGGGCCTCAACATTAAAACATTATACTAATGAGGAAAGATGAAATTCTGATAGCAGCACTGGGCAATTGGAATCCCTTAGTCTACATCAGATAATTATGATTGTGAATATTAGTAGGGTGGGAAGCAGTTGTGCTTCTTTTTAGGACCATGTTTGCAGCCCAGCATACCAACACACACTCCAACCCAAAGTACCTCCTCTCCTGGGAGCAGCTCCTGCAGGATGACACGTATGTCCGGGCAGTCTTGCGTGAGGGAGCAGGGCACAGGAGCTAAAGGGTCGGGTAGATCCTCGGTGATAAAAGGTGTGTCTTTCAGTGCAGGGAAAAAAGTCAGTCGATCACATAAATGTCCTACATCCTCTTCCTCGTCTTTAACCTCAGCAGCAACTTCACACAAGAGCTTAGGCTCTGTTAGAATGAAAATACATTTCCCCACTGAGCATAATGAGTCAGTACAAAAAAATAAATTAAACAATCAGGTATCATCTTTACCCGCGTCACTTTCTGATCTGTTTTTGCCAACTTCGGACATGTCGGGCCTTATACCCAGCATTCCTAGCGCCTGTTGTAAAAACATATGACATAGTGCACAGTCTAACCTGTTACAATCTGAACATCAAATGTGTTTCACACAAAAGTGTTATACCCGTTTGGACTGTCTCAGAGTCTTTCTGCGAATACGTGATCTCGTTCGATTGCGTCCTTCAGCAGCGTCTTGCACCCAATCTTGGCTCAACAGCACTCCTGGGCCAGGTCCGAAAACGGCTCTTTCCCTCAGCAGCTCGGCCTCCAGTTTCAGCCACGTGAAGCTCAAATGCTCCCACTCAGAGGCACGTACCTGCGAAACGAAGCAGAATAGTGGGGGGTGAAGAGCCACAGAGGTAAACAGCATTAGACCCGCTTTTAAATTTGTAATAAAATACACTGCAGCGTATTCATGTTAAAAATTTCCATCAAACCTGTAAGTGGTTTGCCCTCATTTTTTCCAACACTTTGTAGCCTCTCTGTCGATGCGATTCCATGTTGGACAAAAACTCCTGCAAAGCAACAAGAGTAACCTGATGGGTGCAAATGAAAAGAGGGGCAGCACAATCACTCTTCCCCCAGCTCATATCGTACAAACACACACAGTACACATCATGTTCACATAAATTATATATGCATAATAGTATTGTTGTTTCTTCATGCAATTACAATGCATTCATACAATTACATCTGCTCTAAATTGCATTCACTGGGCAAAATAAGCTAGTGGCTACAGTCTTACAATAACCCTGTCTGGAAATGTAATCATTTGTTGGTATTATCTAATTAACATAAACATTAATATTGCTGAGCCACACCACCGTAAAGGGCAAGGTAAGTGTGTGTCTATGCTTTTATATTGTGCGAGTCAGAGTTTATGCGTCGATTAAAAGAGGATAGAAATGAAAAATGAGGGAAAAAAATAAAACAAAGCCGTGTTGACACTGCAGGATGCTCATGTTCAGCAGACACACTGGGATCATATTCTGACTGTTAACTGCTTCATTAAGCCCATCATCACAGCAGTGCTCGCTGAGAGACTAGTGAAACAACATGTGTCCATCCTCACAGCTGACCCAGGAAAGCCGTTTAATTGACTGAATGAAAATGCGGTAAGTCTTTATATAGAGTCTTATTTACAGATACTAATTCTATTTTGTGAACTATAAACCCACGAACAGAATAATTGATTTCAAGTAGAATAAAAGGAAAAACAACTAGTTCTGCATTACAAGAGATGCAGGAAAAAGGAAAAAGAATTCAGGGGGGGAGAGAGAGAATAAAAGTGAAACCCAAAAATGTTCCAAACTTTGACAAGCTCGCCAGAGAATGAAAAGTGTTTCTCTAAATGACTGACTGCCTATTCAAATGAGAAGTTGTAGGGAAAAAGAAATAAAGGGGTAATCTGAGGGGAGATTATAGAAATATTACAGACAGAAAAGAGTGTAATAATGAAGTTTGCAAGCTAGAGCCATGTTGTGACAGATAAACAGCAAGTCGGCGTCATCATCTCCTAATTTCATTCCTTCATTTTGACAAACATAAGTAATATATAGCATTAATTACCCCATTTAGCAGATAGGAACCTCATTGGCTTTTTAAATGCTGCATTAAATACATAACTCATCTCTTCCCTCTGCAATTAACATCAGAACATCACACTCATTTCCATTTTAATGACTTCCCAACAATACGCCACCTTTGATGATAAGGCAACATAATGTCAACTTCATTCTGGGCTGGCAGTGAATGTGTAATGAACTTAACGTGATCATTAGTGCTGTTAATTATCTTTCTAATATGAGGACACAGATATGATTATGGAAACTGCATTCGGTGATGAAATAAATCTCTGGAAGGATTGCACTGAAGCTTGACTGAGGACACAGTCTGCCTATCAGTCTCTATATTCTCATTCATTACCTACAGTGGGCTTTAAAACTCTTTTTTGTTCAACAAATGTACATTTCTGAGCCCAAGAAACTATGCTCAGTGCTCTATGCAACCATGGATCCTGTGTCTGAAAAGAGACTCCCCATA